CTCAGAAGAGGAGGACTGTGGGATGTGGCTGGAAGGGTTCCTGTCCCTCCCTGTCTCCTCCCTTAGCTCCTTACTTCCTGTCTGCCATGCCGTGAGCAGCTGTCCTCCACCAGGCCCTTTGTCTTCCTCCCTGCCATGGAGCTGGCTGACGAGGGACTAAAACATCTGAGCCAAGATAAACCTCTCTTCTTCCTTCATTTGTGGCTGTCAGGTATTTTGTCCTGGTGAGGGATGTCACTGAGAGAACCAAAATCTCCCTGTCTATCAATAGTAAAATGAAAAAAAAAAATAAATTGATACAGAGCAACTCTAGATGCTGGTGAGAATGAAGGGCGTACACTTCCACTCAGCACTGTGCATGATTCTTTCCAGCACATTGCTGAGTAAATGCAGCCACGTGAAAGAGCACACAGGGTCTGGGTCAGTTCACATGAATTCACCAGAGGAAGGGCAATCGGTATTGTCCGGGGTCAGGACAAGGGTTTTCGTTGGACACAGGAGTGGCAGTGAAGCAGGGGCAAGAGGCTTCTGAGGGGCTGCTCCCTGGCTATGTGGTTGTTTTTGAGGTGCACTGAATTGTACACTTGCATATATATGCATTTTCCTGTATGTAAATTATACTGTAATAACAAGTTAAAATACATATAATCACTTATATACTACCCCCAGAGCGTCTGATATAACTGGTCTAAAAAAGGCTCAGATTTATTTTTATTTGTTTTTATTTTTGTTTGGTGTGGCTGGCTCAGCCCACTGTGAGGGTGGGGCTGATGTGGCCTGTGGTGCCAGGGATCAAACTGCGGTCCCTGCATTCTTGCCTAAGCACGTGCTTTAGACCACTGAGCTGTCTTGCTGGCCCTCAGATTTTTTTTTTAGATGACACTGGATGGAACTCAGGGCCATTGCAGTGAGCTACATCTGCATCTGTTTTTTTTTATTTTGAGACAGGCTTTCCCTAAGTTGCCCAGGTTCAGGCTGAGCTTAAAGTCCCAATCCTGCCTCCGCCTCCTGAGTGCTGGGATTATAGGCATGTGCCTCAATGCCTGGCTTCCAAAGTTCCACTGAGACAGAGGTTCACCCACTTCCTTGTACCGAGTAGCTACTGTCTCCAGATCTCTCCTGGAGATCACAGAGGCTGGTGCCCTGGCTGGCAGCAGGAGGTATCCAGTGGACCACACACCACCCATCATGGACCGGGCCCTGCCCGTGACCACACAGGCCCTGTGGCTCAGGCACTGGCCTGGCTGAGGCTTCTGCCTCACGTCAGCTGTGGGTGGTGCTAGTGGCTGCCCAGCCTGTGTGCCCACTCAGGTATCCACCCCATCCTGTCCTGGCCACTTGGCCCTTTTCTGTGTGCCGCTGCCTCCCACCCAGTTCCCCTTTGATCTGCCCGCTGGTGTAGGCAGAGTGCCTTGTGTTTCCTGGCCAGGCTCCTGGGGGGAGGGGCCAGCTGTGGGTTGCACTGCCAGCTCCAGTCTATCTCCTCCTTTCCAGCTGGAAAGGAAATGTCACTCCTCTGGGCCCCTTCACTCTGTTGATTGATCCAGACAGAGTCTAGCTATGTAGTCCAAGCTGGCCTTGAACTCACTATGTAGTCCAGGCTGATCTTGAACCCATAGGGGGATCCTCCTGCCTCAGCCTCCCGAGTGCTGGGATTACAGGCACAAACCACCATTCCCAGCCTTTTTATTCTCACTACCTTGCTCTTCGCTACCCCCTTTTGGTGTCATTGGCTGTTTTTCTCTCTCTCTCCTTCCTCCCTTCATCTAAGCAAACACTTTCTGTCTGTGTGTGTGCTGGGCATGCAGAGATTTAGAAACCACCCCTGCTCGAGCTCAGGGGCCAGGAAGGCAGATGTCTAAGACAGATATGGTAAAGTTTCAGAGGTTACGTTTCGACTGGCTTCCCAGGTGGAGCCACGTGAGGGCGCTGTGGTGAGGAGCCCGAGGTCATTTGTGAGGCACTTGGGAAGAGGGCAGCCAGACAGCCAAGCTGCGGAGAAACAGGAAGCCAGGGAGGCCAGTTGAGGGTGATGGAGACTGTGGGGGCATCAGGGGCCAGTGACAGGAGCAGATGTGGGCCCTGGAACAGAGAGGCTGGTGTCAGGATGCTGTCCCCGGTGCCAGGAAGAAAAGGGTGGCTGGTCCGTGCTGGTACAGCAGGAAGAGAGAAAGAAACAGTGTTCAGGTTAAGCAGAGGCAGGCCCCTCTGGGCCATAAGAGATGGGATAACGACAAGCTGGGGACTCCAGCTAGTGATGGAGTTGGGGAGGGGGCCAGCCTCCCATGGTGCTGGGTGCTCAGAGGGAAGCAGGTTAAGGGTGGCACGGGGTTCGTTTTGACGGCTATGACGAGACCATGTGCTGAGCTCAGGAGGGGACCCGGTGTCCAGGTGAGGGTAGGTTCAGAGATGTCCACAGGACATTTGAGCCTAGAGTGACAGGAAGGGCCAAGTGCGCACATGAGGATCCTTGCGGGGGCCTCGTCAGGGGGTACGCTTGCGTCTCACGGTCCCTTACTTATGCCCCCTCAGCGTGCCCCTCCCTGGGCAGGTTGTCTGTCCCCACCGCATTTTCCTGGTGTGACAGGATTTGTAGAAAGCCTGGAGGAGAAGACAGGGGCTGGGAGGAGGCAGCCCCTGCCGTGCTGTTGGATGGGGCAGTGGAGCGGAGCTCCAGGCCTCAGTGCACCTTAAATGTGGGAGATCCTGCCGATCCCTGCCCCAACCTCCTCATGACAGGACCTATTTTTGTGACTTTGATTGAAAAAATACAAATTTTGGGCCCCTGAACCCTGACATTAACTCTGCAGTGTGAACGTGGGGATCAGATGATGGGTAGGAGGTGTGGCTTATGACCGTTGTCGCTATGAGCAGCTGGGGAGGGGGCTGGAGGTGGACAGAGGCTGCGGGGGTGGGCATCAGGCTGAGGTCTTGCTCTTGGAACCCCACCGCCCTCTAGGTCAGGGAGGGAGGGAGGGGAGGGGAGGGGAAGGGGTCACGCTCTGTGTTGGATGTTCACTCTGCCCCTGGACCTTTGCCTGTCACATTACTCCTGTTTATTTTCATTCACTGAAACAACTGTCTTAGTCCTATTGGCCCATCTGCAGGGTGACAACCAAACTTGACTCATTCCCGAGTCTGAACCCTTGATCACATATAGAAATAAAAGAACAGAGTCCAGAGAAATTGCAAAGTGAAAGCAAGCGAGCAGCTGCCAAAGAGAGGCCCCACAGCCAGGCATCTGCTGCTCCCTTTAAACAGGGCCCAGTTCCCGGGAGTTTGAGCAGCTGCACTCGCTGGGTGGCACGGTGTGTTCGTGCAGGGGAGCTTGATCTTGGATCGGCCCCCCACATTTTATCACCAGTAAAGAGGGCATGATATCTAGCTCACAAATGAGATCCCAATAGTTCATATATATCTGGGAAAAGTCCAGCCTACCAGCAGGCAGAAAGACAACACATTTCACCAAATTGGCCAAGGGGGAAAAAAGGCGAACATGCAGAGTGGGTCTCTGATGTGGGGATCAGAGGCCTCACCGGGCACTGATAGCGGCCACCTGGGAAAACACCGGGAAAGCAACCGAAAGGGGCTCTACAGAGCCTCAGAAATCTGTTTTTTTTTGAGACAGGGTCTTGCTATGTAGTTCAGGCTGCCCTCAAACTCACTATGAAGCACTGGGTGGCCTTGCACTCTTGGCAATCCTCCTGCCTCAGCCTCCCAAGTGCTGGGATTACAGGTGTGTACCACCAGGCCTGGTGGGCTTGCCATTCTTGACCCACTTTTGAGCAGTGATTTCTGGAACGTGCAGTGATGTGGGAACTTTCTCATGCAATCACATTTAGCAACAAGGTAGGCTACACAGGTAATGTGCTACATGGTTCATGTCTAGGAGTTACACATTTGCATATCCACTCTTTGATTTTTAAGGCATGTTTGAATGGAAGATTTCTGATCTCATACATATTTTGTCTTTCTCATATTCCTTATGAGGAACATAAACAATGAAGGAAAAGCCCCTGTGAAACATAAAATGATGGGACCAAGTTGGAAGAGGGTCAGATGACTATAGTGTCCTATGTTGCTTTCTAAGATTCAATTAATAGTGTCACACGTGGCTTAACGATGGGGAAGTGTTCTGAGAAATGGGCCGTTGGATGATGGTGTTGCACCATTGTAGTAAGACACTGGTGTCCTCAGGAGCTGCAGTCTCGACTGCCATCATTTATGTGATCTGTTTATTGGTGAATGAATTGTCATCTCAGGACTACGCATGTCAGCGCCTGGGCTGATTGTGTGGGCGCGGTTGACACTGGGCATTGCCTTTGCCTGGCTGGTCCTTGGTTTCCAGAGGTGTGTCTGCTGGGACAGAGTGAGACCAAGCTTTCTCTGTGGGTGCTGGCAGATCTTGGGCTGAGTCAGTAACACTGGACTTGGAGCAGAGAACTGAGACATGCTCCAGCCTCAGAGCAAAATGTGACTAAGCATTTGGGACTTTTGGTTTCAGATTCCCACTCCTTATTAGCAGAGGGACCACAGCACAGGACATGGTGACCTAATCTATATCCCCCACCCTGCTCTGCCTGGGCCCTGCTCTTTGGCCACTCCATGTTCCCTGGTCAGCCCCCAAGACCCTCTGCCTGGGCTGGTTTGATACCTCAGGCTCTACCGATGCAAAGCCTAGAGGGGACAGGAATGGGGGTGCTATGCTTTGGACCTGTTGGCAGAGGCAAGAATGGAGGCCACTGGGGGGCCCTATCTACCCAGGGAGAGTATCTCCTTCCTAGGCATTTAGAAATGGTCTGGCTGTCATGGCTGAGTGTCCTGCTCATCTCGAAGGTGGCTGAGGCCAGTTCCTGGTCCGGGGCAGTCCCACCTCTTCCGGCCCCTTTCACCTGTGGGCTGACTGAAGTCCACTGCTGTATCAGTTCCTTGTCTGTGATAAGGCTTCCCGTGGTGAGCTGGCTTCCCAGCACCTACCAGTTTATAGTAACAATGCCCAGGCACTTCAGGAAGTCTTGCGTTCTGGCCAGGAGAGAACCTCAGAGGGCCCCTTCCCGTGTGCCTGCTTAGGGCCAGGCTGCAGGCCCAACTGTGCCTGTCTTAGTGGTTTCCTGGCATTCACAATGAGGTGGAGGTTGGTTTTACTTCTGGTCTAGGCATTTGGTGTGAATCTTAGGTTCCTAAAGAGATGCCAGTGAGATGTCCCACTCTGTCAAAGTTGCCTGCTGGGACCAGGCTTGGGTGGGGACAGGCACAGCTGCCCTGGGCTACGTGGTGCTGGTAGGGAAAGATGTCTCCATCAAAGCCCACCTCCTGAAGTGGGGCCTATTTCTCCCTAGCAACCAACAAATGAACGGAAAGACGGCTGCTCTGAAGAGCCCTGGGTCCTACACAGAAAACAAAGACCGGGCCCAAGAGCACCCGGACTGCAGGTGAGGCCCCTTCTATGCAGGGATCAATATAGATTTGGGTGGGAAGTCCTTAGAGGTGACTTTCAGGGGGACCTAAAGTGGAGTCATGATCCCTTGGCAAGTCTACTAGGCAAGACATGAGCTCCTGGGCCTCTTCCTCCCACCCCTGTGCCCTGTCCCTGCGGGTTGGAACCTAGCAGAGCCCAAGCTTCTCAGGTTACCAGCCTCCTCCCTGCCCACCTGTCCTCTGGCCAACCTGGCCAAGGCCAAGGTTTGTGCGTCGTGGGCACCACCCCCTGTCCCCCAGCCTGGTCTCTTGAGTCAGGTGAGTCGTTCTGAGATCTTCACTGCAGAGCCCCAGGCCACACAAAGCGGCTGTGGTTGTGGCTGTGGCTGTAGCTGCGAGGGCAGGACTGCTGGGATCATGGCCCGTGGCCCAGAGCCGTGAGTCCACTGCCTCCAGTCATTCCCTGCCCAGGCTGGTCCCCATGACTGTGTTACCTGCTTGGCGCGATGGGAGGGAAAGGCCATGTGGGCCTAGGGGCAGCATCTGGGAGATGAGTGGAGGGAGGCTGCTCTCTGGAAAGGGGGTACTCTCAGCACCCCTCTCAAAGCTCAGGCTATGCTGTGCGCCTGCTGAACTTGGCATCTTGCCAGGTCCCCTACAGAAGGGTCCTGGTCTTCAGCCTTCTGGCTCAAGGCCAGGGTAGCAGCACAGCCTGAGGATCAAGGGTGGGACTTGAGGTTGGCTTGTCCTGGACTGGAATGTCTCCTTGCAGTCTGCACTGGCCAGAAGGCTTGAAGGGCACAGAGATAAAGAAGGATGGCCGAGAAGGGGTGAGTGTGTGGCTGCCTTTGGCGCTGACCAGGGAGCGGCCGGCTGCCTACATCTGTACTGGCTCCCTGGCCCATCAGGAGACCTAAGCGGGTGTCGCTGTCTAGGTGGGAGTGCTGTGTCCCCCTGGGGACCCAGTGTTACCAGGAGACAAGTTGTGCTTGAAATTCAGCCTCCACAGCTACCCGCTGTTTACTGGCTGCTCCCCACGTAGCCCAGGAAGGGGTGGGTTGGGCAGGGGCATTCTTTCCTGGTAGCTGGAGCAGGCCTTTTGGTGACCGCCCCGGCCTCTCAGACCCAGCCATGTGTTTGCAGACACTACTAAGTAAATACAACCAGCAATACCACAAGCTCTTTAAGGACATCCCCGTGGAGGAGATGGTGCTCAAAGGTAAGCTGTCTCTTTGGAGAAGCTGGCAGGTGCCCAGATCTTCTACCTTGGGGCCCCTGGCACCACTTAGATACTCCTGTATCTGGCAGTTCTCTGGCTGCACACGAGTGGGCTTTGTAGAGGACTAAGCTGTTCTGAAATGTGAAGTTGAACCTATGAAGATTTTCTTGGGGCTTTCAGATCTTCTTTCACTTCTGTTCCCTTCAGTGACTAATCTCTGCTGCTCTGTCTTCTCCCTGAGCATGTGGGGGCATTTGGATGATGATCAAGGGCCTGTGTGCAGGGCGGGGCAAGGCGAGGGGTCTGCCTGCCAGCATGAAAACCCAGGTTGGGTTGGCTGGGCTCTGGGGCTTATGGCGGGAGGAGGAGGGCAGAGAGGATTGTCAGGAGAAAGACTCAGGGACCAAGGATGGTGGCCAGGGGTCTGAGGAGAGTGGGTGCTGAGGCTGCATGTCAGACCTGGGAGTGTGCAGGCCCCGCTGTGCAGCTCTTGGGCAGACCCTGCTCACGGCAGTCTTCTGCCTGTGACTTCCCAGTGTGCTCCTGTGCCCTCCAGAGGGACCTCCTTGTCCAGGGCCGTCTCTACATCTCCCCCAACTGGCTCTGCTTCCACGCCAGCCTCTTTGGCAAGGACATCAAGGTAAGTCAAGAGTGGTGAGGGCTGCCGGGGTCCATGGTGGCTTCAGCCCCAGCCCAGGGAAGGATGGCTTCCTGCGCTGTGGCCATAGCTGTAGTCTTGCCTGTTGCTGTGCAAGCTGGGCACATGGTGAAACCTCTCACCAGTGGGAGGGCAGCTTCAAGGGATCTGGTATTGACCTTACATCTGGCTCAATAATTCACAGCCAAGTTACTTTGCTCTGGGTATTTCAGAAATGTCTGGGTAGGGGCTGGGTAGATGGCTCAGTGGAATAAGCGCTTCCCTGGCAAGCGCAAGGGCCTGAGTTCAATCCCCAGTTCCGTCCCTTCCCCCAAAAAGAAATATCTGGGTATCTCAGAATCAGAGAAGGGTGTCACTTCTGGGGAGGTGGCATTAGTGGGTCCAAGGGCTAGCTCAGGGTCTCCATGACTAGACTGTGAGATTTAGAGTGACCATCTGGTCTCCTGGCTAACGGGGATCACTCCTTGGTGAGTCCCGAGTCCTGTGTGCCACTGAACCAGGGGGAGGGTGGTGGCGACACTGAGGGGTGCCTGGGTGAGAAGGTGGAGGGGTCTTGTGTTCCCCAGCACAGCCTGGGCTTCCCAGAGTATCTGCGCAGGCTTGACACAGCTCTGGCTGGACCTTGTGTGGGAACAAAGGGCCCATATCCCCCTCCTAGGTGGTCATTCCTGTGGTATCTGTGCAAATGGTAAAGAAACACAAGATGGCACGGCTCCTCCCCAACGGCCTGGCCATCACCACCAACACCAGCCAGAAGGTCAGTAAGTCTAGGGGACAGTACAGTCTTGTTGGACTCCCCACACCTCCCTCCAGCCTGCTCCCTGGTCTCTACAGTGGATAGTTCAGGAGACCTCCAAGGTGGCAGTCTTGCTGGCTGTCCTGCTGGTGTTGCCATGTTCTGGCACAGCCTGCAGCTTGTCTCACCTGCTCCTCTGCTTTCTTTCTGTGTCCTAGTACATCTTTGTGTCTCTGCTCTCCCGGGACAGTGTGTATGATGTGCTGAGGAGGGTCTGCACCCACCTGCAGGTAAGGGGCTCAGCTCCTGGTGCTGGGACCCACTGTGAGGGGAAGGTGGCATTAGTGGATAGGGAGCAGGAGCAGGGTGAGGGGTGGGGGCATTTGTGCTCTCTCCACATGCCTGAGGTTGTGCTTGGACTGTGGCTGTGAGAACCTCAGAGGCCATTGGGTCCAGTGTGTCCCCAAGTGTATACCAGCCCTCCCAGGTGCTTCCTTAAGCCCACGAAGACAGGAGCATGTGGCTGCACCCCAGTATGTCCTATGACACTGCTGCTGCACCACTATATGTCCTGTGACATTCTCTGGTAACTGGTGAGGAAGGGGAAGGACAGGGACAGATGTGTAGAAGGGTAAGTTGCCTGGGATTTGCTTTTCTGTTCCAGTATCAGTTCAGGGGCCCCCTACAAACTCTGGGTACCAGGTTTCCTCTGACCCAAAGCAGCATATTTAGAGGTCAAGTTCTAGAGAATGTCAAGGCCTCCTCTATCTGATCCTGCCCATCCCCCTTCCTCCTCAGCCTTCCAGCAACAAGAGCCTGAGTGTGAGGAACTTCCCAGAGGAACCTGAGTGCAAGTCTCTGGTGAGAGAGGGCTGGGGTGGGGGGGTGCTTCTGGCCTGAAGGCATCCGATTGAGGTTTAGGTCTCTGTGGGGTTGGGGGTACAAGCTGCAGAACCATAGCAGTTGGCTCAAGGGCTAGTGGCCATGCTGTCCCCTGGGGCCTCCTACCATGCAGAGCCATTTAGGTCCTGGGAAAACTGGCTGACTCTGAGCAGGACAGAGCCCCAGACCCAGAATGCTGGCCAGTTGGGTGCTACCCACGTGTGCACCCAGGCCAGGGATCCATCGTGTCCCTTTGGCAGGGCCAGAAGGGCCTTGGGGAGACAGATACGCCCCTGGAGGAGAGTGCCCAGGGCCATCATGTGGCACAGATAGACTTTAGCTTTGCCTGGGGAGATTTCAGTGTCCTCAGAAGCTATTAGGTGTTTAGCCAAGTGTGTAGATGCATAATGTCACTGGAAGGTGATGTTCCCACTTTTGCTGATAGGGACCCTGAGTCCCCAACACAAGGTCTTTGAGCCCAGATCAGAAGGGGCCAAGCTGTGTGCCATGTGAGGCATGCTGTGCTGGTTCTTCCTGGACTTGGGCCTGAGCAGGTACCTGGATCATCTAAGATGCCACCATAATTCTGCATCATTGATGTTCGAGGACTTTGTTCTTGGCAGGGGGGTTGGTGCCACCGTGAAGGAGCAGATAGGAGGTTTGATTGTTGATATGGTAGTTGTCCACACCCTGTATCTGCTTCCTTGACTGAGTAGGCATGTGTTTTGGTAATATCCAGAGAAAGACTTGAACACCTGGTGTAAACCCTTTAGGGTAACTGAGCTCCCAGGGGCCACAACGATATAACTTCTCGTATCTCTTCTGCAGGAAGTCCTCATTCCTGAGATGAAGTGGAGAAAAATATGCCCTTCCTCCAGGTCATTGTTGCTCTCAGACAATATCCCCTGCGTCCCTCAGGAATCGTTGGACTCCACAGACAGCCTCTTCCCCTCTGGGAAGCCTCCAGGGCCTGGTGAGTTGGGGGCTTGTCTCCCAGGGGCCAGTTTTTCTCTAAGGTGTTTGAGAAGGGTGTCCACAGCCAGCAGGACATCTGAGAGCTGTGGCTTTCTCTTTCCAAATCCATGCTTACTGACTATCATGGCTTTGCAGAGAATGCTGCCTGTGAGACCCACAAGCAGGAGGAGGAGCCAGCAGGAGATCTGGAGCTGCCACTGTGGGATTCCCATCTCCTCAAGGTCATCTTCATGCTGTAGGTGACTGTCATGGGGAGGAAGGGAGACCTGTGGGGGCTCAAGGTGTGTGCAGGGTGCAGAGGCCGTGCTCTGCAGCCAGTTAGGCTGGGAGCCGACGCTGGGTGCTTGGGTGCTGTGTGAAGGCCATAGGGCTCGTCCTGTCATCTTCAGATTTTCAGAACCCTGGCATTTAGACTTTAGGCTATGGCGTGCAGAGGGTGGGATGTGGAATTGAGAAAAGGAAAAGCTATTGCTTGGGATTGGGGAGATAAGAGCTGACAGATGAGAGGGCCATCAGATGGCTGGGAAAGCCCACTGCCTTGGTGGCCACTGCAAGAGCAGAGGCTGGAACCCTGGCCCGTCCACAGCCTGTCTAGGGACAGCAGTGCAATAAGCACAGTGGGAGGTCACCTGCACAGCCAGCCCCCCCCCCCCAGTCATTTCCCTGGGGCTGCTGGAAGAGTGACTGTCTGCTCTGGCCCTTGTGGGGCAAGGAGGCCACCACTTGAGAGACATCATGATCCCTGCCAAAAGAGGTGGAGGGACCAAGTGGCTGGGCAGAGCGAGGGTGGGACGACAGCTTGAAATAGCTGGCCGGAGCTCACTCAGAGGCCAAAATACAGATTCCTCCTGGGCTGAGAGGACACTCAAATGGGGATAAGTCTTAGGACCGAAGTGTGGCCAGTGGCCAGTGGGAAGAAAGGTGTCAGGGCTGCACAGGGCTGCAAGGCAAAGGCTTCTTTAACTCTCCCTAATTGCAGGAGTAGCGTAGTCCCCACTCATGATTCTGGCTAACCTCCAAAAATCCCCCTTTCTCTCTCTGTCTCTGTCTCTGTCTCTCTCTCTCTCTCTCTGAGATAGTTTCTTGCTATGTAGTTCAGGCTGGCCTTGAACTCGCTATATAACCTAGGCTGACAGCAGTCCTCCTGCCTCAGCCTCCCAAGTGCTGGGGTTCTAGGCATGCACCATCATGCCCCACTAGAACACTTTTTCTAGAAGAGAGATTCAACTTCTTGTGCCTGTTTCTCCAGGATCTGCTTCTTGGTCATGTCCTCGTCCTATCTGGCATTTCGCATCTCCCGTCTGGAACAGCAGCTGTGCTCCTTGGATTGGGCTGGGCCAGTCCCTGGGCACAGGTGAGGCCGTGGGGACTGTGGGCTGAGGGGAGGAACCAGGCTGCCCATTCCCCTGGCTGCTCTTGGACCCTTGGAACCCATCTGCTGGCCGCAGCAAGGATGGGCAGTTTTGAGCTTTTGCAGGTCTTGCCTGACCTGCTTGCAAGAGAGGAGAAAGGCTCCACTGGCCCTTCTGCTGTGCCCGTTGGCCCTTTCTCTGATCTGGGCCTCTTTCCTGGGTGCAGGTAGCAGCTGCTTGGCCTTGGTCCTCACCCCTCTCCAAGAAGAATGCTCGGGTGCTAAGACTGGTTCGTGCTGCTGCCGTGCTGAGGCTGAGTGTGAAGGGAACTTCTCTGTTTCCCCTCCTCCCCATCTTCTCCTGCCCTCTCCACCAGCGAGCTCAAGTACCTGTTTACAAAGTGACTGGCTCCTCCAGATCTGGGACTCGAACAGAAAGCTAGATTCTTGGAAGCAGCTGAGGAATCCTGTCTACTCAGCTTCTGCAGCCACTTCAATGAACATTTAACTAGCTCCTTGGAGACCACTGGGGTGCACAGGCCGAGCCCTGGGGGCTGCCTCAAGACAAAGGCCACACTTTTATACCTGGAAGGTGGCTCTCTCTTCCTTGGTACCTGTCCTCTGTGTGCCCCTGGAGCCCCTTGGGCCCTGAGTCCCTGTCCTGAAGTTCAGCCCACAGGGTTCTGTGGGGAGCCAGGCACTGCTCAGGCCTCAGACAGGGGTTGGGCTTCCAGCGGGAGATGAGTACGCATGCCTGAGGGAGGCACTGAGCTGGCCCCCTCTCCCCACTGCAGAGCCCAGCAGACTGCAGAGATGGTGTCCACAGCAGGGGATGCCGGCGGGGTTTGTGAGGTCCCAGGACTCCATGTCCTCAGCTATCACTTTCTGGTGAGACAGGTAGAGCAGGACCTCCTTTGATCACTGCGGTCACACATTTGATACTAGGTCTATCCCTCATGGCCTCAACTATTTCCAAAGTGTCCTGGGCCCTTGGAATAGGTGACAGGAAGCATGAGAGCTGTGATTTGAGGCCTTGTTATGTCCTCTATGCCTGATTGCCCTCATCTTGGGCATGGCCAACAGCCTTATGTTGGGGAGGCTTGGACAGGGAGCCAAGTGTGACAGCGTCACTCATGTCACCTGCTGTGTGTCAAGGGCTGTGAAAGCTCTGTGCTCCATTAATAAAGTGTGTGTGTGTGTGGGGGGGCTGGTTCACTGCAGAGAGCAGGGGAAGGAAAGGACGGGCTCTGCCTGACGCCTGAGGGTCCTCTGCTCTAACAGGAACTCCGGCCTGGCCTCCCCTGGGCTCTTGGCTGCTGACAGGGCTTTAGAGGCCCCAGAAGGGCCGCGGGGCATCCAGGAAGAGCAGTGGTGGCATGCGTGCCCTCAGGAGTAGCCTGTTCCTCTTTCTGACAGAAGTTAATCAGAGAGATCCATGTGGAACTGATTTACTGCAGAGCTTCAATTGTCCTGTTGATGACAACCCCAAAGGTGGACTGACTGGCAGCAGTGACGTTAGGTGACAGCTCCCTGAGTGCAGACTAGAGGTATCTTCATCCTCCCCTCATCCCCTTTGTAAGCTGGTCCTGCGGCCTGGCCTCTTGTGCTGCTGGCACCGAATCTGTCTCAGGTGAAATACTCTTCTTTTCCCTCGCAGTGCCACCCTGGGTGACTGCCCGGCCCTTGCCTTTCAGAGGTGGGGCAGCTGCTCCATCACTCACTGCCATCATATTTTCAGGGAAACAATCCTCCTTGCCCTGTGTTTCACCTCCTGGTGCTTGCTGACAGGCAGGAAGAACAAATCCATTCTCCAACCCTAGCTAGGTGGAGCTGGCAGCCGAGGGAGGTGCCAAGTCATGCGTGGCTGTGCCAAGGTGCTGGGAGTCCATGCCCAGCCAGAACCCAGGCTCAGGGAAGGCAAGAGAAGTATAGGAGGGCAGGTAGTGAGGAATCCCACTTGGGGCCTAGGGCTCTGAGCCGCCCCCACTGGAGAGCGTCTGCCCTGTTTCTCCCTTTTGTCCCCCAATCTGGTCCTGCTGTGCACTGCTATAAACTGGGAGAAGCTATTCATTGTCACCTGCGTTTGCTGAGGCTTCTCTAATTCTCTGAGACTTTGGGGTTACCACCCCTGGTTGAACCACAGTGGCATTAGCCTTTGACATTTTTTGAAATAAACCTGTTATTTTCTAGCATCCTGTGGCACGCAAAGTTCATTTTTGTCCTGTAACAACTCCTGAAAGGTACTCTGCTGATATCCTCGGCGCCGAGGAGACTGATGGAGCCCAAGTCATCCCCAGGATCTGGAGGACGCTGCAGATCTTGAAGGATCTACTGAGCAGTTTTGCTACCCAGCATGTGGGGAAGAGCAAGGGTGACCACAGCCTTCTGCTTCTGCTGGGTGGACACCAAGGGACAGCACTTCCTCATTTCTCCTGCTTGACGTCCCCTAATAGTACTTGACTCAGGAATTAGTGTGTGGAGGGCAAAGCCAGAAGGCTCCTGCGGCCTTTCCTGTGACTCAGAGCCTATGGAGGCCACATTCCAGTGTGGGTCGCATCGTGCTGCCCACACCCCCTTGGGTCCAGGCCCCGAGCCAGCTGCTGCGCCAAGTGCCTGAGGTGCAGTGGACCCGCAGGCAGTGGCTGTAGCCTAACAGGTTGGGATCAGGTTTCATAGAAATAAGTCATGTTGACAGGAGATAAAAGGGGATATGGCTTTAGATAGAATGTTCAAGAGATTTCTCTGAAGTGACATTTAAGCTGGTACCCATCCCTTTTACTAGATGACACTGAAGGCAAAGAAGGAAGCCCCTGCCCCTCCCAAAGCTGAAGCCAAAGCAAAAGCATGGCTAAGAAGGCCATGCTGAAAGGCATCCACAGCCACAAAAAGAAGATACAAATGTCACCCACCTGCCACCGTCCCAAGACACTGCGGCTCCGGAGGCAGCCCAGATACCCTCAGCAGAGTGCCCCCAGGAGAAACAAGCTTGACCGCTATGCCATCATCAAGTTCCCCCGACCACAGAGTCAGCCATGAAAAAGATCGAGGACAGCAACACACTCGTGTTCATTGTGCATGTCAAAGCCAGTAAGCACCAGATCAAACAAGCTGTGAAGCTGTGACACTGATGCCGCCAAGGTCAATATCCTAATCAGGCCTGACAGACAGAAGAAGGCATATGTTCCACTGGCTCCTGATTATGATACATTGGATGTTGCCAACAAAATTGGGATCATCTAAACTGAGTCCAGCTGGCTAATTCTAAATAGACACTTTTTTTCATTAAAAAAAAAAAAGCTGGTACCAGTACCTGAAGGACAAGGTGCTGGTCCTGGGAGGAGCTGAGTGGGGGGCAGCATTCCTCCCAGAGGGATCAGTACCTGCAAATGATGGGAAAGGGCATACAGGTCTTGAGGGTCCTAGTCCAATAACCATGATGGAAAAAAGGCTAGAAAACTCACCTCAGGAGCAATGGATGCCCATAGACATTTCTCTAAAAAATAGATGCAAATGGCAATAACCAATGAAAAATGGTCACTTCACTACCAATCCTGGAAGTGCAATGCAAGTCTAAACCGTCATGAGATGTCACCTTACAGTCAGGATGGTTGCTAGCAAACAAACAAACAAACACCCAGTGGTTTTCAAGGATGTGGAAACACTGGAACTTCTGTGTGTTATGGATGGGAATACACAATGGTGTGGCCTTGGTTGGGGCATAGTACAGAGGTAGAATGCTTGCCTAGCATGCTCAAGACCCTCCAGTCTCAGTCTGTAGCCTGTACACATGCGCACACACAAGGGTAGCTGGAAAAAAATAGTCTAGTATTAACTCAGAAACTAAATATAGAATTATTATATGATCCAGCATTCCACTTCTGAATAGGTACTAAAAAAACTGAAGTAGGCCTTGAGATACTTGTAGTATATTCGCAACAGAATTATTCAGTGTCAAATGGCACAGTAGTTGCCTAAGATGTATGAGCTCCTGGGATTGATCCCCAATACCAGGGGATGAGAAGGCAGAAACAACTGTAGTGTTCACTGAGGTGACAGCAAAACATGGTCCACTCATGCAACAGATGTTACTCAGCTTTGAGAGGAACACAGCTCTGACACATGGTATGGCATGGGTGACCCTTGACATTCTGCTGAGCACATTAAGCTAGTCACAAAATACAAACCCTGTATGATTCCACTCATGAGGGACCCAGAATGGCCAGCCCTTAGGGTCAGACCACGGTGACTGTCGTGGGGGGAGGAGGGGATGGGGAGTTGTTTCATGAATAGAGTTTCAGTATCACAGCTTAAGAGAAATCTGGAGATTGGTTGTACATCAGCGTGAGCACACTAAACTAGTGGTGACTTGCACACTTGGAGCAGTTAAATAGTAAAAGCTATGTGTATTTTACCACATTGTTTAAAGAGCTTAGTGAAATGGGCAAGGGCAGAGTTTGGATTTTACAGCCTCCCTAGGGACCACGGCAGCTGAGCTCTGAAGTGTGAGGTGGGTGTGGCAGTGTTGTGGCTGCAGAAGCCGAGCCTGGAGGGAAGAGCAGGGCTGGGTGCTGTGTGCAGAACCTGCTGATGACCTGGGTGGGGGAGGGGTGGGATGTCAGAAAAATCAACCTACTTACAGTCTTTAAAATATGCCCCTCCATGGGACTGGAGAGATGGCTCAGTGGTCTAAAGCACCTACTTAGAACAAGCTTGGCAAAGCATCAGGGACCGCGGTTCAATCCCCCAGCACCACATGCCAGCCAGCCCCGTCCCCTGGTGGGCTGAGCTGGCCACACACACACACCACACACTCTCTCTCTGTCTCTCTCTCTGTCTCTCAAATAAATAAAAAAAAAAAATATGCCCCTCCTTATCTTGGAGAAATGAGGGGCCTGGAAAGGGCAGGCATTCTAGAGACAGGAGAATTGAGGATGGAGGGCAGCGCAGGGAGGACTTCAGCCCACCAGAGGCTGGAAATCCAGAGACTGGAAGAAGGTGCTGCCCACCCTAGGTGCCTCCCATCTGGATGCCAGGTCATTATGCCTTTGGCAACCTGGTAAGGTCTTTTTTTTTTTTTTTTTTTTCAGTACCAGGGATTGAACTCAGGAACTTGTGCTTGCCAGGCAGGCACTTATGCTGCTCCGCTATATCCTCGGCCAACCTGGTAAGGTCTTGACACCCAAGCCACCCCTCTCTCCTAGCCACTGGGCCCCCAAATCAGGGAGTCCTAGGCTAGAGAAATTTCTCAGTAAGGGATCCCTGGTTTGTCTGAGCCTGGAGGGAAGCTGGGATCTCGAGGCTTCATGGAAGCCCAGTTTTCCCTCTGGGATGGGAAAGATGACAAGTGGCCCACTGGGTGGCAGCAGAGCCCAGCAAGAAGACCAGGATCTGCTAGGTAAAAGACTTGATTGTTCTTAAAGCAAGGCCCCTGGGTCTCATCTCTTTGCTGGAGGAAAGAGGCCCAGGCTTCTTCCAAGCCCAGTGCACCTCCGGTGTCTCGGAGGAGGGGTGTCTCCCGGTGGTCATTTCTCCCCTTTGGAGTCTCCTCCCTGCCCAAGGCCAGCGGTGACAGAGAAGGTAACGATGCCAGGGCACTCCAGTCCTCACGCAGGCCTGGTGGGTGGGAAGGCAGAGCCAGTGGCTGCAAAGCCCAAGTGTGTGTCTGTGTGTGTCTGGCCGTCGGGTGGGGCACTCGGCTTCTAGGGCTTGGAGACCCCAGGCTCTGCCCTGCCCTGCCCTTGCTGTGCGAGGTATCTTCCTCAGAACAGAATGAAAGAAACCTGTGTCCCATCAAGTGTGCAAACAGGGGGGCAATGACACTTTCTCCTCCTACTTAGGGAACTTACTTCAGACCCCAGGGCCAAGAGGTCCAAAGGGGAAAGGTTAAATGTGCTTCATCCATGGAGAGGCCTGAGGCCTCTGAAATGATAATCTACAGAAACCTGAGTTCATCCCCCTCTGTGCCGAGGGAGGGACAGAAAGAAAGAGACAGTGATAGGTAGAGACAGAGAAGCAGCCAGCCAGCCAAGCTGCACCTGGCGCCGTGGGCCCTGCCACCACCCTCCGGTGGCAGGGCTCTTGCCTTCCTGGAATGTGTTCCCTCTTGTTTGCCACTCAGTGTCTGGCTGGGGGCCAGGCCTGGGCTGCTGAGAATATGACGCCCCAACTTCTCTCCTGAACCCAAGGGATCTGAGAGGCTGTCTTCTGCCCAGGAAGTTCGACATTTCTGGGGACCTCAGACCCCACTGAAGCTGAGGGCAGAGACCTTGAGGGGGGACAGAGCTGGGTACCTGGAGAAGCAGGGAGTGCGGGACGCTGCTATCTTATCCTGCCAGCAGCTTCTAAATTGGGCCAGAGTGGGCAAAGAGTTTCTCACAAGCTGTTCATTAACTTGCTAACTGCCGAGAGGCTGGCTTTGGGAAAATGTGACACCCACTGCTCCTGGATTCAGTGTAGCATGAAGGCGTGTTAATTGGTGTAGGATTTCTGATGGAAGTTTTTCTTTGCTGCTGGTTCCAAATGCTAGGCTACTCTGAATGGCACACTGTCTGCAGCACACAACCACAGTTAAGCAGTCAAACTGCTTCCATGGGCTTCCAAATGTGTCTGCACAGCTATGGCGACACTGGTGCTCCTTGAGTCCACTTTTCTGGGAGCTGTTTATGCTCATTTTCTCATTTGACTTGCAATACAGTGATGCGATTTTCAGTTTGCTTGTGGAAGCAGATATTGATAGAAATACAGGCAGTACTGATCCCCAGGGGCAGTCTGGTGGGGGAGAGGGTTGCTGTGTAACTGAATACAGGGCGGGGGGATGGCAAGTTCTCCAGGGGCAGTCACGCGGGCTGACTCAGCGGCCCAGGGTGGCAGCACGCGTGGGCTTCAAAGAATGAGTCAGACTTGGATCCGAGGAGAGATGCGGGGGTCCTCCTGAAATGTAGAAGGTAATCAGCAAGAGGATGAGGGTGCAGAGGGTGGTGCTGGTAAAACAGAAGAAGATACCTCAGTAGGCAGGATCCCTTTGGATCTAAATGCCAGGATAAAAAAAGGTTTGATCTTTCAGGCAGGAGGACTTATGAGAGCTCTAGCTGCTTAGGAATGATGCATAGAGGTGGTGGGTTAGGAAGATAGCTTTGGCAGTTCCACAGGATGCTGTTGTCTACGTTGTGGGTCGGCTGCAGCACTATCAACATTTTGGGCTGGATAATTTTTGTTACAGGGGTTATCCTGTGTATTGTAAGATGCTTAGCCACATCCTTGGCCTCTGCCTACCGGATACCAGAGTAACTGTCACCTCTGACTGTGACAACCCAAAATACCTCTGGACATTGCCAAATGTCTCCTGGAGGAAGAGGCCTGGCAGGACTGTTCCTAGTTCAGAGTCACTGGTCTGGCTGGCAGGAAGTTAAGACTGAGTCTTCAAAGTATTGGCAAGTTTTGTTTTTTTTGCTTTTCTTTGTTTTTGGGGTGCTGGCGGTTGAATCTAGACCTTGTGCTATACCACTGAGCCATACTCCAGCCCCTGAACTACACTCTTGGGTATTCAACATCGATGCCAAAGAACTTAATGGCATAGGGATAGAAGCTTTAGATCATTGTGACTGAAATCTTTAGACAAAAATCCAAAGCAACAGATGTGTTCAAGTTTCATATGCAAGAAAGTGGCTGACACCAGAACTGTTTTTCTTACCCAATCCCAAGTCACATCTTATTGAAGAGCTACTTTGAGTAAGGGAGGCCCAGTCTGCCTGCAGACTTTGTACTTACCCTTCTAGCGCGCGCGCATACACACAC